CGTGAGTAGTTTACCACAGACCTACGGGTCCGCAGCTAGTAGCTAGATGGCTTCTCTCTTTTTGATCTGCAATACAATGTTCTCCTCGATGTTCTTGGAGATATATTTGATGTAATGACTTTTTTGCGGTGTGTTTGTTGGGATCCGATGAATTGTGGGTTTATTATCAATTCTATCCATAAATATTATTTGAGTCTTTGCTGAACTCTTTTATGCATGATTGTTATAGCCTCGTATTTCCTCTCTGAAATTTTGGTTTGATTTGGCCAACTAGATTGATTTTTCTTGCCATGGGAAAAGGTGCTTTGTGATGGGTTCGATCTTGCTGTGCTCAATCTCAGCGACAGAAAGAGACATGAAACATATGTATGGTTGCTATTAAGGACAAAAAGATGTGGTATATTCCTACATGAATAGATCTTGTCTACATCATGTCATCATTCTTATTGCATTACTCCGTTTTCCAATGAACTTAATACACAAGATGCATGCTGGATAGCGGTCGATGTGTGGAGTAGTAGTAGTAGATATAGAATCATTTCGGTCTACTAATATTGGACGTGATGCCTATATACATGATCATTGCCTTGGATATCGTCATGATTATTCGCTTTTCTATCAATTGCCCATAGTAATTTATTTACCCACCGTATGCTATTTTCTTGAGAGAAACCTCTAGTGAAAACTACGCCCCCTGTCTATTTTCCTATCATATAAAATCAAAAATACCTTGATGTGTTTTTCCTTTATTTATTTTATTTTTTATTTTAGTTAGATCTATTTATCAAATCTCATACAATTTAATCTATCTCAATACCGAGGAGGGATTGACAACCACTCTTACGCGTTGGGTTGCAAGTATTTGTTATTTGTGTGCGTGTGCTGTTTACATAGTCTTGTTTGATTCTCCTACTGAATTGATAGCCTTGGTTATATAACTGTGTTGCATCATCCTCTCCTCTTTGGGGAAAAACCAACTCAGATACAAGCAATCAGGAAGAATTTCTGGCGCCGTTGCCGGGGAGATATCATCAACATCTATCAAGTACCTTATCACAAATCTCATCTCCTTGAATTACTTTATTTGTCATTTACCTCTCTTTTTCATGTCCCTCACCTCTAAAATGTTTTTTTGCAAAAATACAAAAATATCTTTCATTTGTCTTTTTCTTGCTCGATCTTTTGTTTGCTTGTGATCTTGTTTGCGTAGTCACGATGTCCCAAGAAAATATCAAATTGTGTGATTTTTTTTCAATACCAATAATAATGATTGTATTATTACTCCGATTTCTCCTCCCGCCGCTAGTGCGGAGTTTTATGATATTAATGTCCCTTTGTTGAATCTTGTTATGAAAGAGCATTTTTTCGGTAATCCTAATGAGGATGTCACGTCCCATCTAAACACTTCTGTAGAATTGTGTGATACGCAAAAGAAAAAAGATGTGGACAATGATATTGTGAAATTAAAATTATTTCCTTTCTGTTTCCGGGATCGTGCAAAAATTTGGTTTTCATCTTTGCCTCGTAATAATATTGATTCTTGGGACAAGTGCAAAGATGCATTTATTACTAAGTATTTTATTCCCATAAAAACTATTTCCCTTAGAAATCAGATCATGAATTTTAAGCAAATTGAGCATGAACATGTTGCGCAATCTTGAGAAAGAATGAAATTAATGCTAAGAAATTGTCCTACTCATAGTTTAAATCTATGGATGATTATACAGTGAGCTCGGACGGACTCATGATGGCGTCGCTAACACGAGGGAGAGGGTGGAAATGTGAGTGGCTACGGTTGAGGCTCATCGTCCGGCTTAAATAGTCGGATTTTTGGCCCCTCAGACGGTGTGCCGGCAGCGCGACATGAATACGTCCTCACCCAACAGATGGGTTTGTTGATGTGTGTCCGCGTGGGTCTTTGATGTGTGTCCGCGTGGGTCCTGCCGTCAGTAAGACGTGGTGAGCACGTCCGGGGCCTCCTCATATCCGCTTCAGACATGGGCTGCATGTGGGGGGTGTCGGTCAGCCCGGACATATAGGGTCAATTTAAGGAGCCCGACTAGGTCGGCATTTTGTGACCGGACACTAACTGTGTTGTCCTCCTCGACGTATATGGGGCATTTGAGGAACCTGGCTGCAGCACCTCTTAGTCACTCCTATATGATATTATTTTCGCACTTTAGCAACATCATGATTTTAGAAAGGTGACATTTCACTTTATGTTCTACACACTATAAAAGAAAACAACCGTAAATAACGAGAGCACATTGCATACAAATTTACGCGTGATAACCTTTCTATCTGAATAACATAACTATGTGGTGTTGTTCGACATGGAATCACTATAGCAATGTGACATAACTCCGAAACTTTTCTTTCATTATCAAAAAATAATATAAATGAGCTAGCAAGATCACATCAAACAAAAGAATCTCCTAATTTACACTTCCAACTTGAGAGGAGACTACTTCTTTGAGAAACTCCACTACAACGTCATAATCCACTGTCATCAATATTTCACGGTTTACTCTATCTTTCTTTAGATAGTTGATCACCTTAAGAGTTTCAATTGGCGTGAGGAGTGCTAACTGTTTCAGGTACTCAATGCACTTGGTCATGCAATAAGGATCATTGCTGGGATCATGTCTTTCTATCTGTGCAAATTTGATTTCCTTGTAGCTCTCAATTTGCTCTGTTTTCAGGTCTTTATTATAAGTCCCAAGTTCTTGTTTCCTGACCGACACCAGGTTTTCCGACATAACAACCTTGCTTTTCTTAGCCTTTTTCTTGTCACTTCTTTCGCCGTTTCCTTTCACGTGCCGAGGCCTTTTCTTTGGTACTGATTCTACTTGTGTCTGATTGTCTTGTCCACGAAAATCATCTAGAGTAGTTCCTAGAAGCTCATTGTATTGCTCATCTGAAATGTCTACGCAAAGGCAACCATGTTAGTCATTCAGAATAGTATGTAAGAACGTACATATATACAAGGGACATCATAGCATTTTATGAATATTAAGAGAGTTTTTTCTGGTTACCTGTTGGCCTTTCAAGGTATTTGGAGAAGACACTTGGAAGAAGTGGGATATTAGGAAAGTCGTGTCCGGGATCTACCTCATCCACACACTTAGCACAGTAGGACTGTCTATTGATGTATGGAGTACAGATATAGAAGCGTTTATCAAGGAACCCTTTCCTCCTCCACAAAAAACGTCTCCTTCCTCCTCCCGTCGGCGCCGCCGCGGATCCGCCCCACCTCCGATGGCCTTTGGCCTATGGAGGTGCAGAGGATCTCGGCCCCCCGCCGGCGGGAGGGACCCCGTTCTTGTTTTTGCTAGGTTGAACGTCTTGGTTGGGGCTGTTTGGCGGCGGCGATGTCCCTCCGTAGCAATAATGTCTCCCGCGTCCTATCTCCGTCCTGATGGTGCGAATAGCATTGTCGGAGGATGTGTGGAGGTGTGTCTCCGTCGGATCTCATGGGATTCGGTCGGTGTTGGTCTTCGGTGGATCTCTTTGGATCCAGTTTTTGTTTGTCTTCGTTCGTGTGGTTCCAGGTTTGATCTTTCCAATCTACAACTCTCTTCATCGGCGATGGTTGCTGCTCCGGTGTGTTGGTCCTTTGGGGCCTTAGCACGACGACTTCCCGACTGTCTACTACAACAAGGTTTGCCCGGCTCCGGTGATGGAGGGGTGATGACGGCGGCGCGCCTTCGGCTCGCTCCAGTGCTTGTAGTCGTCGCTAGGTGGTCCATAGACCTAGTTGTAATTTTTATTACCTCTTGTGTTCTCTGTACTGCCATGATTGATGAATAGATTGGAAATTTCTCTCGCAAAAAAAATTAGTACCCTTTTGTTAGATGAAACTGATGGGCTAGCTCCTCTAATCACAGCCATTAGATGGCTTTCATTTTCATGAAAAAAAACCCTACTGGAAAGCATGGAAGCACTTCTCAAATTTTGGTCATGCAATTTTTTTGGTGGGTCTAAAACTAAACACACCTATAACTTTTAGATGTCGTGCAACTCTTTCAACTTTGTTGCCTAGATCACGCCTTTTGGATCTGTGTCTAGCTCACCAGTTTCAACTCGTCTATTTTGGCTACCCTCTGGTGCCTTTAATTATTAAATTATCAAATGAAACACCTTATTCTCCACTAATGAAAACTCCAATTGTAATACAATTCGGACACAAATATTCAGGTCAATTAGACCACAATAGAGAATTAATATGACGGTCTAAGTCTCTAAGATCATTTTTGCAAAGATGTGATAACTAAGATCATGCATGGGTAGAACCACCCAAGAAAATATGACAAATCTAAGACCATTTTGGTAAAGAACAATAAATTCTTGCTCAAGTCAAACGCGAAACAATTATGCCTTATAAGAGAAATAGAACATATCAGTACTTTTCTTTTGCAATACAGATCTTTATTTAAACAAGCTAGCACTCGGTCACAGATGAAATTCCTTCACATCAGAAAGAGCGCAGCTGGGATTGCAAGTAGGACACTTTTTCTGGCAGTCGTCACTTGTGGCGAAACACGGGGCGTCGGGCTTGTTGAGGCAGCAGTAGCAGTCTACTCCAAATGGTGAATCAGGTGAACCACATTTCTTTCGGAGACAAAACTTCACATTAAGCTTGCTTTCATTGATATCACCAGCAGTACTTGTCTTGGTATGATAATCCAGACCGGTCTTTCTTCCAGCCTCGAGACGACCTATTGCATGCATATTTGAGTATATATATCTGCATCAGTTTGCTGTTTGAATTGAAAGGGAAAGTTTTGGTTGGGGGGTCCACTGATTGAAAAGAAAAGGTAAACGATTCGCCTTTGTTCAAAATATGAAGGTGATGATGTTGTATACTCACACTCTGCACTCCCTGCAACCCAGCCGATGAACAAGATGGCCATCACGTAGGCGAAGCGGCTCTTTGTCATATTGATTCTTTGTCTTTGTATTGTATAGACTAGTGGAAGATGGTTTGAGGGAAACGCCACACTCGGGCGATCAGCTCGTGATTGATTTATACTATCAAAGTTCAAGGACGTGAAATAGGTAGGATTAGATTGCCTAATCACGTATACAAGGTATGATACATTACCATATCAATCTTTACAATCCAAATAAAGATCGGGTTGATACGGTAGGGAGAGATTGCCTAATCACCTATACAATGCATGATACATTACCGTATCAATCTCAACAATCCAAATCAGATTTACCGTATCAATCTCAACAATCCAAATTAGATTGGGTTCATACGGTAGGGTAAGATTGCCTAATCAGAAGTTAAACACGTAGACTCACCAGCCAGGACACTCTTTTTTCAAGTTCATGTAAAGTAATTCACTTAACTGTCGCAACAAATTAATTCATTTAAAAATGACACTGAAATTGATCAATAGATAAAATTCCGCATGCCAATGTCCGCTTAAAGGAAGATACTAGGAAGTCAACAAAATTCTAGAAAAAAGGAATAAAAGGTCACAAAAATACCAAAAACTTTAGAAATTTCAAAAAAAATTAATCAAGTTTTTTTTGGGTTGCCAAATATGTAAAAAAAAAGACCAACCCAGACTAGATTAGCCTGTTGACATTTTTCGAGACTTGAACCCTAGTGGGCTGGCTGTGAACTCTCATGCCTTGCCAACTGAGCTACGCTCAATTCTCAGGTTGCTTATGGTGAAACTTCAGAAGAGAAAATGGCTCAAGGTTCCTTGATTATTCTATTAACAAGCTTCCTTGACTTCTATGAAGCCGAAACTGATCCTTGAAGTTTCTTGACTTTACTATTGTGGCGGCTGACCTTTATAACATCTCTAGCAGACCACGTATAATGCCGACCCGCATAACGCGTTTACAGTTCGAGGAATATCTGTTTTGCAGGGCGAAATCATGCGCTGTAGAATATACCCCGTATATGAAACTGTATAATTTAAAAAAAAACTTTCGCGGGAGAAATTGCGACCACACTGATCATTCATAGTTCATCACATACTATATTCTACTACTACTACTACTAGAGGGGGGTGGGGGATCTGCGGGCTCGTGGCGGCTACCAAAATGGACGAGCTTACAACGGAGGAGCAGTCCTCCTCGTCGGAGGAGCAGTCCTCCTCGTCCAACGAGAGTATCTCAGCTGAAGACCACGAGCACCACCAAGTCCATGAAGACAGGCCACACCATAATCAAAAGACTAATGACCATCCATCAAGAAGCTGCAGACGCCTTTCCTGTGGCGCCACTCTTCTTTCTTTGGTTTCTGAGAGCCTCCTCCACAATCGCCTTGCCAGATCCAGGGTTAGCCGCCTCTAAGCATTTGAGCAAGCTATGAATCTCTAAATCGAAGAGAATCTCATCGACCTTGTCACGCACAGACATCACGTGCCCAACGGTCACGCGTGAGTTAGTGACCGGAACATTGGAACCTCCGCAGTCCACAAAGGCGAGCGACTGGCTGGACTCCAAAGGGTCAGCCGCCAACATACCGACCGCCTCAACATCATTAGCCACAAAAACTACTGAGACGACATCGCCTACAGGAACCACTGACACAATTGCCTCGGGCACCTCCACTTTCTCACATGATAGAGGCGAAACATGCCCCGTACACGAGGTCACTAATGAGTCCACCTCCAAGTGCTCCAAAGACAAAGGCAAAACAGGGCTCAGACATAGCTCCTGTAGGTCGGGCATGATCTGTAGAACCGGAGACTCGAGGACGGCGATGGGCCCCCCTCACTGGTAGGCATCACAGGAGATGAGGTCGATAGTGACAATGCATTGTCCCCAACATGACGAGAGAAACATCCATATAGCTCTTGGCCTCCTTCCTCCGTGGCAGCAATACCGGCCACACCAGGAGGGCATGACATCAGAGTGGTTAACAATATAGCTGGCCCTAAGGAGAGCTTGTCCACATCAGTCTCCACCCTCTCTAGAAAGCTCTCAACCCGCATCATCCAACCTTGCAGCTGCATGATCTGATCAGCCAGCTCTTGACTTTATTGTTGTGCCGGCTAACCTTGAGAATGAGTTTCTAGCTCTCGTTTAGCACACAAAGTTGCATGAGGATATAGCCATATTCTATAAGAACATCTACAACCGGACTAGACAGATCCGACCCCTCAAACGCCCGCCGGTGCGTACGGACGCGATCATGGGCAGTGATCGATCACGCCTCAAATAATGCATTCCACATCCGAACACCTCAAATTAGAAACATCAAATCCATATTATTACATGCGATCTTTGAGCGGAGCTCGTACGGCTCCCCGTGCCCATGTCCGGCGGCCGACTGCATCCCTCAGAGTGTTGGTCCGATCGCTGACAAGGTAGAGTAGGGCATGAGACACAAGCCAACTCACGATACTCAAGTCGCCTTGTCTCCCATGCCCTAATCTTCCTCGTCGGAGCCCAGAACTCGAACGGTGCCGGTGGACGTTAGATCGATGATGGATCCGTCCTGGGACGAGCCAACAACGTCCACCATGACGCATTTGCGGCGCCCAGACTGCTGCACCATACGGGGCGCCGGAGAATGCGACACCGCTTCGACGACGTCCACCGCCGCGAGGGCTGCCACTGCCTCCCGCGCCCGCTGCCTCACACGATGGGCACGCCGTGCCATATTTTCGTCGGACGACACCCATGGTGTGTCCCAATGTTCGTCGCGCCAACAGAGGGGTTGCACGTCCGCCACCACGTTCGGACGCTGATACGTCTCCAACGTGTCTATAATTTTTGATTGTTCCATGCTATTATATTACCTGTTTTGGATGTTTATGGGCTTTACTTTATACTTTTATATCATTTTTGGGACTAACCTACTAACCGGAGGCCCAGCCCGAATTGCTGTTTTTTTTGCCTATTTCAGTAGAAAAGGAATATCAAACGGAGTCCAAATGGAATGAAACCTTCGGGAGCGATCTTTTTGGAACAAACACAATCCAGGGGACTTGGAGTGGATGTCAAGCAACAAACGAGGCGGCCACGAGGGTGCCCAGCGTGCCCTAAGGGGGTGGGCGCGCCTCCCACCCTCGTGGCCCCTCGTGGCTCAACCGACCTACCTCCTTTGCCTATATATATCTTCGTACCGCGAAACCATGCAGGAGCACCACGAAAAACTATTTCCACCATCGCAACCTTCTGTATCCGCGAGATCCCATCTTGGAGCCTTCGTCGGTGCTCCGTCGGAGGGGGAATCGACCATGGAGGGCCTCTCCATCATCACCAAAGCCTCTCCTATGAGTTGTGAGTAGTTTACCATAGACCTTCGGGTCCATAGTTATTAGCTAGATGACTTCTTCTCTCTCTTTGATTCTCAATACAAAGTTCTCCTTCCTCTTCTTAGAGATCTATTCGATGTAACTCTTTTTGCGCTGTGTTTGTCGAGATCCGATGAATTGTGGGTTTATGATCAAGTTTATCTATGAGAAATATTTGAATCTCCTCTGAATTCTTTTATGTATGATTGGTTATCTTTGCAAGTCTCTTCGAATTATCAGTTTGGTTTGGCCTACTAGATTGAACTTTCTTGCAATGGGAGAAGTGCTTAGCTTTGGGTTCAATCTTGCGGTGTACTTTCCCAGTGACAGCACGGGCAGCAAGGCACGTATTGTATTGAGGATAAAAATATGGGGTTTATATCATATTGCTTGAGTTTATCCCTCTATATCATGTCATCTTGCTTAATGCATTACTCTGTTCTTCATGAACTTAATACTCTAGATGCAGGCAGGAGTCGGTTGCTGTGTGGAGTAATAGTAGTAGATGCAGGCAGGAGTCGGTCTACTTGTTGCGGATGTGATGCCTATATACATGATCATGCCTAGATATTCTCATAACTATGCACTTTTCTATCAATTGCTCGACAGTAATTTGTTCACCCATCGTAATAATTATGCTATCTTGAGAGAAGCCACCAGTGAAACCTATGGCCCCCGGGTCTATTCTCTATCATATAAGTTTACAAACTACTTTATTTTGCAATCTTTACTTTTCAATCTATATCATAAAAATACCAAAAATATTTATCTTATCATATTATCTCTATCAGATCTCACTTTCGCAAGTGGCCGTGAAGAGATTGACAACCCCTTTATTGCGTTGGTTGCGAGGTTCTTGTTTGTTTGTGTAGGCGGTGAGACTTGGGAGGAGCCTCCTACTGGATTGATACCTTGGTTCTCAAAACTGAGAGAAATACTTACGCTACTTCGCTGCATCACCCTTTCCTATTCAAGGGAAAAACCAACGCCTGCTCAAGAGGTAGCAAGAAGGATTTCTGGCGCTGTTGCCGGGGAGGTCTTCGCTCAAGTCAAGACATACCAAGTACCCATCACAAACTCATCTCCCTCGCATTACATTATTTGCTATTTGCCTCTCGTTTTCCTCCCCCCCACTTCACCTTTGCCGTTTTATTCGCCCTTTCTTTTCCATTTGCCTCTTTTTTGCTTGCCTCTTGTGTGCTTGTGTGTTGGATTGCTTGTCACAATAGCTCAAGATAATACTAAATTGTGTGACTTTTCTAAAAGCAATAATAATGATTTCCTTAGCACTCCGATTGCCCCTCTTAATGATGTTGAATCTTGTGAAATCAACGCTGCTTTGTTGAATCTTGTTATGAAAGATCAATTCTCCGTCCTTTCTAGTGAAGATGCCGCTACTCATCTAAACAACTTCGTTGATTTGTGCGATATGCAGAAGAAAAAAGACATGGATAATGATATTGTTAAATTGAAGTTATCTTCGTTTTCACTTAGAGATCATGCTAAAACTTGGTTTTCGTCTTTGCCTAAAAATAGTATTGATTCGTGGAATAAGTGCAAAGATGTTTTTATCTCTAAGTATTTTCCTCCCGCTAAGATCATCTCTCCTAGAAACGGTATTATGAATTTTAAGCAACTTGATCTTGAGCATGTTTCACAATCTTGGGAGA